ATTATGTCTCATATAGCAACACCGTGACACAGGCGATCAATGTAAATATATTATATTGCTATGAGCTGTAGACTGTTGAAAAAATGTCGCCTACAAATTAAGTACATTGATCACTTGTATTACGGTGTTACTATAGGAGATATGCTGTGATTTGGTGTGTCAGTGATTCAAGCATATGGTAGTGAAAACAAAAAGATAACACAAAAGAAAACTACAGTGAAGTGCTGTGGTAGGAGATCGAACCATAAACTTTCTTCCCGATGGACGGGAGCCGAGTGGTAGAGAGGAGTGAGAGAGACAGCGATTGCCAAGCTGAGCTAGCGTTGCAGAGTCGGTGAGAGTTCTTGACAGTCAGACACGCTAAGTTTGGGTCCACAGAAGTAAACAGGTAACTTAATTGAAAAAATAAAGCTTTGGGCGTCGATGAACACCTGAGGGATGCACCATGCATTCGACTTCTTTGGTAGCTTAGGTGTTTAAAAGCACATCTGGCCTTCAGAATGAATCGTAGTGGCCCAGTAATATATCAGGTCAGTGCTGCTATCCTCGCACACAAGTGTGCTATCGATTCACTAACACCGGAGAGATGGAAGGCTTCATGAGCCTTGAACTAAGAATTGAACCATCGTCTATCAGTTGACCGATCATGTGTGTCGCAGTGCATCTCTGACCACTGCGCCATACGCGCTCATCTCACTCTCATACTTTACTGGTCCGTCCCACACTGTTTTTTTTGTACCCCAGTACATTTAGCATTCAACTCGTTTTCCTCATTCTTCTTGAACGTCGTTGAGCGAGTCTCCTTGCAGTCTTGAGATTAGCCTAACTTGACGTTTCATAAAGCGTTGTGGAGGGAGGGAGCTCGGCTACACGAGCGTCACGACGAGCATCACAGCCACTCGGCCACGGCTCTTTTCAATGAATATCGGTGGTAAATGAAAAAGAAGTATGGAAAGTACGTCGGTCATTTCACCTCATTTCGGAGCCGAGTGATTATATGAGTGAAAACTTTTTGAGAAAAGCATTCCAAGGAGTCAAATTTTCTTTGTTAATTAGCCAATTGAAAAATCCAAGAAATCCAAAATACATCTAAAAAATAATAATAATGAAAGGATCTATTGAAATTTGAGCGTGGCCTTAACAAAGCACTCGAAATAAAGGTATAACATCTGAAAAGTTAGAAAATTCAACTAGTCACCAAATTCACATTAATTGAAGTATTTGAAAGATGTTAAGATAAAGGATAAAAGAGATTTGGAAAGCCCTATAAAGTTCAAACAGACCTCAAAGTGTTAAGAAGGCTCTGATCCGGCACCGAACACACGAGAGCCCACCGCATGCGCAACGCGTCATCCTCATCGCCATTGTGGAGAGGCATTTTGAACCCTGTAAACTGCCGACTATCACCACCATCAGAAGTAAAAGAAGAAAACAAAAGTTCAGTAAAAGAAAATGGAAAAGATGAGAGGAACAAACAATGAAACAATAAAAGAAAAATCAAGAGGTAAACACACAGAACTGAAAAAGTTAATCAAAATTTAAACAGAAAAAAATAAGTTGCAAAGTAAGCCATCAAAACTTCAAGTAACTAAACGCCATTCGATATGCTGAAACCTTCTACTAAGGAAAAAAATGGTAATTTTTGGTTATAAGGGAACAAATGAATATTAGACCTCTTTGGCTGTACCAGCATTTTTCATAGGAGTGTAAGTAATCATTCACGAAGCTTAAATCTCTTTCTAGAGCCGTACGTAAACGGTTTCCGAAAAAACCCTTTTATAACGCTGTAATATACAGAATACAATTATGCTTCACACACGCGTATTTTTCGCCGCACAGGGCTCCTTTTTTCGACTATTAGTATTCAATCGAAAGCGTAAGTTTCGGTGATTCTAACGCTGTACTTATTTTTGAAAAGATCGTTTCTCTGCAGTCAGTACGGTAGTGAGAATAAGATCAAACTCACATGCGCGAGCAAAAAGATCCTGGCTATTCTCTGGGGCGGGGGGGGAGGGAGGCGCAGGCAGATATGACCGCTACATCACGCCGGTCAATCGATTGGCCCTTCGGCGGGTCATGGCGAGTATGATTTTTGTTACTTAGTTAGGGACTGCTTCTTGAAGCCCCTGATTGAACGTCTACTCTAATACTAAAGGATTTTCTCTACACAATCAGGTGCTTTTCGTAGTTCCACAGAAGTAAAAGTAAAACTAAGGGGACCATGAGAAACATAACTTTATTTTGCACTTTACAGCGTTAAAAAAGATCTTTTTGAAAACCGGCCACATACGACTTTAGCCAGAGATTCAAGTTTTCGAATGATTACTAACACTCCTATGGAAAACGCTTGTACAGCCAAAGAGGTCGATACTCATTTGTTCCCTCATAATCGAAATGGCCATGGAATACCGAAATTCACAAGAGAAACTATAGTTCACAGAAGATATGGTTTCTAGAGAAGTCATAAGAACAACACATTTCAAAAATAATCAACTTGAATTCATTTAATTTAACCGATCTGGTAGCAGTGGCAAGATATTATAACTTGCATCTACTAAATTTGAGTGGTACGATAAAAGCTAGGAGGATAAAGCTCTCGGCGCTGATCAATCCTTGAGGATTTGCCATGCATTCGCCTTCAATTTTGAGCTTCGTTTGAGGTGATTGAATGCATATCTGGCCTTTACAATGACTCGCGGTGGGCTTCCGCTGAACCGAAACAGTGCTGCTTATCCTCCCAGTCAAGTTTCGAACCAGTCTGGTACCAATTTACCGACCCCGGAGGGATGGATGGCTTGGTGAGCCATGAGCATGAGATCGAGCCATTGACCTCGTGTGCGACGCAGAGCACCTCTAGCCACTGCGTAACATGCGAGTGATACGATGCACTATAAAAGTCAGGCGGGAATCGAACTCGAATTTCACTTTTTCAGGGCCACATGCTTACCAACTGCTCCTAACAACGCAACTGTTCTGCCACAACACTCCTTGTGCGACTTGGTCGGCACGCGTCCGCAGAAGGAGTGAAATGAGCTTTCGGTTTCCGAGTGAGGTTTACAGTTATGCATGTCATTCAACAATATGGATATTTCGAAGATAAACTAGAATTCTTTTATTTGACCGCCTTAGCGGTGGTATGATGCTATCGAAGCAGTGATGGCAAAACGGGCGTCAGTAGTACACTGGTAAGGGCACGCGCTCCAGGGTACAATGAGATGCGGGTTCGACTCCCGCCTGATGCAAATGTTTTGCACATTACACTACTATCACTGGGTAATTCGGAGATAATCGAGTATTCTCTGAAGTTATAACTTAGAACTTTATGGAAAAATAAAGCAAAATGTCCATGGACTGAGGCGGGCTGGTCGCTAAGACATCGAAGCTGAGAGAAAAAAAAACGGAATCGCTCGCTGAGTGACGTAAGGAATCGACAACATCTAACGGTCTTTGCGTCTAAATATGAACAAACTCTACGATAACCATGAAAATCTCGAGAAATAACAAAAAAAAAAAAAAGAAAGAGAGATCCTAGCAGTAACAGACATCATAATTCGAGCAACGTAAGTGGCGCATTTTCAAAATATTGAACTCGCGCCATGATTAGTGATTGATTAGAGCGCACTTTGTCTCGATGGAAAGAAGAGAAAAGGTAATAATCTGAAGAAAATGGACAAATTCTTAGCTAGAAAACATGGCTTGAATCGGTTATAATAATATGAACGAAAAAAGTATAAATATACTAGCATCCTTTCATTATTATTTGGGCCAACTTGTCATGTGGTCTGGTAAGGGCTCTTGTACAGCCTGAGACACGTGTTTCGTCCTTACAGACTCGCCCGTCGGGCAGAATCTGACTCATAAAAAGTTCGAAAGACGACGGGTTCTGCCCGACCTGACGAGTCTGTAAGGACGAAACACGTGTCTCGGGCTGTACAAGAGCCCTTACCAGACCACATGACAAGTTGGCTCAAATAATAATGAAAGGATCTATTGAAATTTGAGCGTGGTCTTGATAAAGCACTCGAAAATAAAGGTATACTATCATCATACATAAATCATACCTTTTGTTTCGAGTATTTTTCTAAGACCACACTTAAATATAAGCGTATCTCGTAAGAATTATTTGAGCAGACATGTCATGTGGTCTGTTAAGTGGGCTGACTTATAGAACCCGATACACGTGTTTCGACCTTGACGCTCTCATCAGTCGGGCGATAGCCAAGAGCAATCGAGTGTACAAAACTGTCTATTCAGTGAAAATTTCACTTGACGGACATTGTAAAACGTTTCGTCGTCGCCTGCTCTTAGTATAGGGGACTCAGTGCCCCGAGAGGATTGGCTTAAGACGAAGGTACCGTCCGAGTGATGAGTCCGTCAAAGGCGAAAACACGTGTATCGGACTCTACAAATCAGCCCATTTACCAGACCACATGACATGTTGGCTCAAATAATAATTACGGGAGATCATACATATAAGTGTGATATATAATATATATATATTATATATAAATATAAATGTATTATATATACATATGTATAAATTATATACCCAAGAGAATTGAGTGGTGAGCAACTGAATGAACATCATAATAATGCGAAATGCATTGAAATACTATTAATTCCGTATAAATTATATACTTATACTCAGTTATTTAAACATTACATATAAAATGTATATGAAAAATGAGAAATATTAAAGTTCTCATAGGGGTGGGGCGTACGCCCGAGTGGTTTTGATGCTCCCCGCGGCACGCGTAACTCTCTCTGGCAGTCAACGACAACGCCCTATGGAACGCGGAGGCGCACTCAACCAGTATTCGACGCCGTTCAAAAAGAAGGCGAATAACGATTGATCGCTAGAAGTATTAGGATCCGTAGAGTGAAAAGAATATTGTGATGACGGATCCAATAATAATGATTCGCTTATCGACGTACGTGTTTATGTTACCCCATGAGCGCGTGTGGTGCAGGGGTTGTAGAACGTTTTGTTCTTCAAGAATCACTGCAAAATGAGATCGAACCGGCGGCCTTCTGCGTGTAAAGCAGACGTGATAACCACTACACCACAGGACCGCGGCAACAGTTCGATTATCCATATGGTTGATGTTTGAGTTGTCGCTATAATTCCATTGCCTCGCTACTGGAATTCAAAGTAATTACATTTTCTGTCAAGCTCTAATCTCTGATTTAAAAAGTCCCCAGATGTTTGAGTACGGATTGTATCAGGGTTTTCTTAAGAGAGCACCGCAAAACAGGTCCTGGCCGGGATCGAACCGGCGACCTTCTGCGTGTGAAGCAGACGTGATAACCACTACACCACAGGACCACGCACGCTGCTCGACAGATGCGCACTTGGATTGATAGTTCGGTACCGAGCCCAAGGCTCACAAAACGTTTATTTCTCCGGAATTCTCTTCTCTTAGAAAGTGACAAATGAAAAATCCTACACACTGGCTTGGATGTGTCCTGTTAATGTTTTTTTCTAGTATTCTGTTGATCCTGATGGGCATAGATAGAACGTGGAGAGTTTGTAGCTGACAAGCATGCAAGCTGGATGAAAGGTGCCGGTGGGGTGAATTTCCATTATGGCGCAGCAAAACGGCTGTGATAGCCTTCGGTCGATTATTAACTTTGTACTTTGGGAGATAACACTAGGAGGGCCAAGCCCGCGTGCTGAAGAGCTGAAGAGGATCGTTGATGGATTCTGACATTCGACAATAAATCTGTCCCGAGCGCGAGCTGTATAGATCTCCACATTTTATATCGCACATTAGACTTCAAGTCTTAAGACTGCTACCCTTGAAAATTCGCAGATTTGTGTCATTTTTGTGAACAAAATAAATCGAAAGATTATGGTCAGCGTTGAGAAAATTTTTGGAAGGACACCGACATCGATTATGTCAACCCTTTCGGGACCGTGGACCCACCTCCTTTGCATCCCTCACTCGCGTGGCAACAGTTTATGGGCTTCTCCATCTCCTCTACATCTTTAGCTCACAGCATGGGTACGCGCTATATGTAATATTGCTTTTTCAGTTGTTTTATTGTTGTTTTTTCCTATGTTTTATAGTAAGTAAATATACTATGTTGTTATAAGTAGGAAATTAGCAACAATAATACAACAGTGCATTCAGTGCCCCCCCCCCCCCATTCTGGGAGTTGGAGATGGTGATTAGGTGGGCCAACGGTCCCTAAAGGATTGAGTTTTTAAGTTACTCCTCTCTATCCCGTCACGGGACTATAGACTGGAAGAGTCTCCGGCGCAACTTTGAGAATGGCGCCATGAAATTGTGAGTTATCATGGATGGTCGAAGTCATTATCGTTAACTCGATTACAACCCACACTGAAAATTTATTTATTCGATAACTTTCATTCTAAACTTCTTGTCGTCACCTTACTGAAATACTTTCGAGAGAAACCACGAATCAGAGTCGTTGGAAACCTCGATCGTATAGAATCTTACCTTTCAATATTTGATGAGACTAAAATCTTTGGATACTTTTAGAGACAAACTGTCTCGAACATTTTCAGACTTTTAAAGAACCTCAGATTATACCTTTGCCTGGTCGTTTAGTTTAAATAATTTTCATAATCTGGAGAATATCCTGAGCTTTGGTAGCATAATCTGGACCGAGTAAATAGGACTGGATAAAATCATGAACCCTCAAAAAATGGTAGGTCTGCTATGAAATGAGATTTTTGGAAAAGGGAATTTCGCGAATTAAATTTCTTATATAATCTTTGAGAATGTTGCACTCGTCTTTCTTAACATTTTGGTACAAAATCATCTATCTAGAATTTCTACAAAATGGCATTGATGCTGGAAAAGCCGCCGAAACACGCGTGTCTGGTGACTCTGTCGCCACGAACGATTTTTTACCTAAGCCTCCGGAAAAACGACTAAAAACATTTTCAAATGTTCTAACAAGGCTTATAATAGACAGTCGCTTAAAGAACGTGAAGAAGGTGTTATATATTCTATGCTGGTCAAGTCCTTTGAAAAAACTCAAGAATTCAAAAATATAAAAAAAAAAATTAAGCAATTCGTGATCAACCCAATTTGATTCAGTCAGTTCCAGACGGTGATTTGGCACATAGCATGAGGTTGATATGAACGTGCTAAAATATGAAGGCGTCGCCTAGTGAGGTTTTCTACTTGAGCCGCGCCCAACGAAGAAAATTTGAGTCGATCAACAACGAGGACGAACTATTGTGGGTATTCGACTCGAATCATCGGCCTTTAAGAAGAGGAAAGCGATAAAAAGTTAGCCAAATGAGGTGTGTATAGTGCTATAGTGTAGGCTGTGGTAAGTGCTAATTCATAAAAGGAACCATCGTGAAAGCAGATTCGTTATCAGTCGTGATATTCTGACTGCAAAAAAAGAAACCAGTTGTTTATTATGACTCAAAATCGACAGTAATCAACATTGTCATAGTATAAGCAATCCTATTTTGTCATAAAAACCTTGAATAATACCTCAAAATCAGGTTATGATGAGAACAAAGATCATCACAATTTTGGCGAAATAGTTGTCGAAGTTTCAGAATGTTGACTTTGGCGCGCAACAAGTGTGGTCGATTGGAGGGCACTTCACATCCGAAAACAGAGTAAAGTGATTATATTTCACGAAAATTGGTCAAAATTGTGGCTATGATACAAAAATATAGGTACCAGGTCATAATAAAGGCAACCAATAGTTTTTGTTATCTTTCAAACTTTTTATGAAAGTGAAAATGTCGCAGAAGTGATTGGATGAGAGTAGTGTCAATTTTGGTCTATAGGTATATGTTTAGGCTTGAACACATTAATGAATTGAGATCACTTACTTCGCGCACTTCATTAAAACCTATCTATTTGTTCAATCGCCACAGTCATCAGTCAAGGTGCTCGGTTCAGTGAGATCATGTGATAGTAAAAATCATAGCTCGTCCACAAATAAATCGTATCATTTTGGCGACGGAACCTCTTTAAGCCTCCATACATATCAACTAGCACAGCTGAGTATATCTCTGTATCGTTGAAATAGTGGTAGCAGAACAGAAGCCTCGAAAGTGCAGTGGTTGTTACGCGTCATGGGGAAGTTTGAGACATGGGCTAGCCTCCCTGCGAAGGTTCAAAGTTTTGCACATCTCAGGATCGACAATCGATTAACCTCGGCATTTATCAGGTGATTTTGCGACTTTTGCCACTAAACACAAGGTTGTTAATATACCTTTACAAAAAGTACAGCAGAGGTCGTATCAGTGGCTAACGTTCCAGCAGTTTCGCCTTCTTCAGAGCGCGAAAGAACCAATAACTGAAAGAATGAAGCTCTCGGTGTTGCTCAATCCCTGTGGGATGCGCCATGCATTCGCCTTCAATTTTGACTTCGTTTGAGGTGATTGGATGCATATGTGGCTCGCGGTGAGTGTCTGTCTCAAATGCACAAAAATCAATTCGAAATATGCTTCAAGAATTTTGCGCCCTTGAGTCATTCTTTCCTGTGCGAGGATGAATATTACTTCTTCAAAGTCTATCTTCTTATACATCTATGTTGCATGCTTACCTAGTGTTGTTTTTAAATCCATTTTACACCTGTTGTCCGATTGCTTTTCAACATGGACATAGAGGGGCCCTCCCGTTTCAGCGGTGTATTCGCCGCCGCACCTTTTCAAGTGATTAGGTAACCTGTACTTACGCTCATGCATTCACCTCTTCTACCATTGAGGCATACCATGCTTCCTTTCGTTTTGCATGGTCGGTGGCATAAGCGGTTGCAAACTAGTTGGCTCTTTAGATTATTTGGTGGTATCTCAATGATTGTCAGCGATTTCTCCAAGCCTGATGTTTTCAAACAGCTTTTTGAAGCTAAATTCATTTCGCGAGGAAAGAGGGAAGAATTAACAGAATCTTGCTTTTGTTGGAATCGTCGTTTGAAGGGCGCATCATTTCCACTAAGCCTATACCGGGGAGTCGTGTAGCCATTGGAATAGCTATAATTCTGAGCCAGCTCAAAGAACTCTACCCCCTGCTCCGTTCCACTGCACTTAACCGCTTCTGTGCAGAACATATTTTCATCAAGTGCCTTTTTTGCATGTAGGAAGAGGGGGAAGAGGGGTGAGAGAAGAGGTGATGAACCAAAATATTTTTGCTACTTCGCTTTTCGGTACCACTTCGCAAAGTAGCCGTTATCGTATAGATTAATTTGCACGTTAAGGTAAGTAAGACAGACATTTATTGCTATCTCACGGGTTTTGCATATCACTCAACACTCTTGGAAGTACAGCCAAACGTTTCTGATGTCAAATAATTGTATTTCTATTTTGATAGTATGATCAGATTATTGTTTTTTCGTTTCTTACAAATTGTACGACAGTCAGCGAGGTATAATAGAGCTGTTAGAGATGTCTTACAATACACACTCTAATAGCTGGTTATTCGCCTTGCGTAGGCTAGCCAAACTTCACATTCCTTTTAGGTTGAGAAATTGGATACACACCTACCTGAGAGAATTAAAAGCACTGAAATATATTAGTATAAACACGTCAATGATTCTATAGGCCACACATGCATTCAATCGCTTCTGCTATGTTACGATCTAGCTCACCGTATGTTGAACACCTAAGAGTTAGATGGTCGGTGAAGTCCTTATCCTTCATGCTTTTGCTTTGTGCCAGGAAAGACGTAAAGGTGCAACTTTCGGACTGATGTTGAATGCACTTCAGAGTCTTACGGAAACTTTACCTCAGTGATGTTGTGAGCGGTGGAATGAGCTGCCGAGTCGAAAGGTGGATCTGACAAATCCATCACTTGATCGGCCGTCATTTTCAGAAATTAGTATGGATCTATAGATTCATGTTTGCCCATAAGGTCACGAATCAACCTTCCCAAACTCAAAAAAATCAGGCTCTTTCTGATTACGAGGGATCACATAAAAAACCAATCTCATTCGTTGGAGAGGAACCACTCATAGGAGCGCTAGTAACCATTCGAAAGCTGAGACGTTGTAGCATCCAGACTAAAAACTGTGTTTCACACTCGCCTTTTGCCTTCATTTTTATCATGCATATAATTCGCTGGAAGCCGAAAGTCTCCAC